CCCCAGCCCCCGGGGAAGGGACTGTCGGGGCCCCGCGGGGCGGCTGCCCCTGGCGTGGCCTCGGCGCTCGGAAGGAGCTTGGGGCTCCCCCTCCCCGCCGCCGCCGCCGCCAGTGGGTGCGCGGTGGGGGTGGGGGCTCCGGCCGGGCCCAGCGCGGCTGGCCTGATTTTAGGGTCACCGCGAGCCCCGCACCTCCCCTCGTCCTCCTCCCCGCTGTTTGTGGTCCCCCACCCCCGAGAAGGGCGCCCGGGCGGGCCGGGGTCCGCAGGTGGAGGTGGGGTGTGGAGCCCAGCCTGGACGTGGGCTCCGCCGCGCGTCCGTTCTCCGTCCCCGCCTTCTGCGGAAGAGGGAAATAAGGTCAAACAAACTTTCTCCCTGCTCGCGACGCCCTCCTCCCCTCTCTGCTGGTAAAATAATAATTCAGATAAGTGGCGTGTTTGTGTGCGAGCGAGACTCGCTCTTCCTCCTCTGCTCGTTAGCCCGGCTCCTGATGGATGGCGGCAGGAACGCCTGGCTGAACGAGGCCACTCGGCTGCAGAGCCGAAGGGGGACCGCCCCGGCGCGTTTCAGCCTCGCGGGCACACAGTGGGAAGTTTCCATCCAGCCTATTAGGTGGGCGGCAGGGCGCGCTGGAACGTTTCTGCCCTTTTTGTTGAAAGCCCTGCAACAGTTATTTAGAAGGAGAGCCTAAGTGGGTCTGGCTTGAGTGTGGTAAAAGGGTTAAAAGATTCCAGCATCACCCCCGGAGGGCTCTGCCTCTCAGCTCGTGACCCCCCCCTCCCTCTTTCCTCCTCTTCCCAGGTAGAGCTTTGGAAAAGTTTGTCACTGTACTTCCTTGTCCAGCCCTGTCCACCTGATTTTTTTTTTTTTTTTTTTTTTTTTAAAGTTTGGGACTAAACTGTTGGGCCGTTAAGCCTTTGCATCTCAATACCCGGGGGCAGATTGGGTCGAGAGGACAAGGTGTCTCGGAGGCAGATGTGAAGTGAGCCCTCCCTGCTCAGGGATGTGGTGTGTTTATTCTAGAAGTGGCATGCAGGACCGAAGGCAGGGAGAACTTGCTAAAACATTAATTGAAGTGAAAGAGAAAGTTCTAGGGATAGTAGGTAATGAAGACAATATTAAGGCAGTATTGCTAGTGAATGGATTTTGTGTGTACTTAATGTAAATTTCGGAGTACAGAAAGAAATGGGTTTCTAAATGTGAATTTTCTGTTGAAAAGATTAAAGCCTGAAACTTCTTTAATTACAGATTATGTCTACTTTGAGAATTCCTCTAGCAACCCTTACCTAATTAGAAGAATAGAAGAACTCAACAAGGTACATACGCCAAGTGTTCTTGATTCCGCTATTAAAAAACTGCGTGTATTCCTTTGAAAGGCAATTGGATAAAGGACATAAGAGGCGATTTTACTTTAGTCCTAGGCCCTTTCAAAGTGGAGATTTTATTTTTATTTTATTTTTTTGGTACCAGAAATTGAACTCAAGACCTTGTACTTGCCAGGCAGATGCTTGTGCTGCTGAGCTATATTCCTGCCTAAACATATGCGTGCTTTTTTTTTTCTTTTTTCTTTTTTCAGTGCCAAGGGTCCAACTCGGGACCTTTGGCACTTAAGCCGCTGAGCTATATCCCCAGCCCTGTTTTTTTTTTTTTTTTTTTTAATTTTGAAAGAGATTTTTAGGTTACAGTTAGTTTGAATTGTGAATATTTTGCTTTTTGTGATCATTCTTTCTGGCTGGTGTTAAACATTTGCAAATATGCAGTCAGGCTGGCCTTGAGCTCACTTTGTAGCCCAGGCTGGTTTCAAACGCAACAGTCTCCTGCCTCAGCCTTCTGGTGCTGGAGTACAAGCGTGGTCTGTCACCCTGGGTCTTTTTTTTGTTGTTGTTGTTGATACTGGGAATGAACTTGGGGTTTTCAGCCTTCCAGGCAGCTGTCGTGCCACTGAGCTGTATCCCTGGTTCTTTTTCCCTTTTTAGTGAGTTAATATTTTTTTCTGCCTTTAGAAGAAAGAAGCTAGAAAATGTAATAATAAAGGAGATTTGTAAGGACTGGAGAGATAGCGCAGCATCATAAGTGCCTGCCTGGCAAGTGCAAGGTCCTGTGTTTGATCCCCATTACCTCCCCTCTTGAAAAAATGTTGCAAAATATGAAGGAGTAGCCCGGTATAATGATGCATGTCTGTCTAATCCCAGCACTGAGAGGTAGAGGCAGGAGGATGGCTGGGAGTTTGAGACCAACCTCAGCTACAAAGTGAGCTCAAGGCCAGCATGAATTGCATAGTGAACCCCTCTCACACTTTACAGACTTGTAAATAATTTTTGAAAAGACCAAAATGGGGCTGGGGAGATAGCTCAGTGGAATAAGCGCTTCCCGGGCAAGCGCAAGGTCCTGAGTTCAATCCCCGGTACCCCCCTCCCCTAGAAAAACCCTTCTGTTTTTATTTATTTATTTATTTTGGCAGAACCAGGGATTGAACTCGGGCTCTTGCGCTTGCCAGGGAAACACTTATTCCACTGAGCCATCTCCACGGCTCCTATTTTAACATTGTAGGGCTGGGAATATATATATATATATATAGCTCAGCACAGCGCCTGCCTGACAAGCTAAAAGTTCTGAGTTCAGTTCCCAAAAAAACAAAAAAAAATCATGACCAATAATAAGACATGTAAATTATAATGACACATATAAATTACTAAAGTCACTAAAAAAAAAATCATGGCTGTCATCCTTCATTTGCCAGGCTGAGGCCGAAGGACCGCTGAGTTAATAGGCCAGCCTGAAGTGCACAGCAAAGCACTGTTTCAGAAAGACAAAAAACCAAAACAAGAATAGAATAGGTCTGGTATGGTGGCACATACCTGTAATCTCAGACTTTAGGAGACTGAAGCAGGCCAAGTTGAAGGCCAATCTGGACTACACAGTGAGACCCTGTTTCAAAAAGCAAAAAAGTAACCAAGCATGGTGGTGCAAGCCTCTAATACCAGCATTTGGGAGGCTAAGGTAGGATTTCTAGGAGTTGAGGGCCAGCCTTGGCTACATACATAGTAACTTCAAAGCTGATCTGAAGTACTGGCTAGAGACTGTCTCAAAAAATGAATGAATGAATGAATGAATGAATGAGTGAATGCAAAAAAGTGGCCCAAATAAGACTCCAGTTAACTACTGAGTCTAATTTTTCTAAAAATAGCAAAACAGCTGGGCATGGTGGCACACACCTGTAATCCCAACACTTGGGAAGCTGAGACATTAGGATCACTGGTAGTTCATCAGCCTGGGTTACAAAGTGAGTTCAAGGCCAGCCTGAACTGCATAGCAAGACCCTATCTCAGACCAAAAAGAAAAAAAAAAAAAACGTCCTGGGAAGATCAGAGGTGAAATAGGCGAGGTGTGGAGTGTTAACATAATTGGAAAATTCAAGTAATGGATAGAAAAGTACTTGATTTGTTTTGATAAATCAGTAGGGACGTGAACTTATTTAATAATTAATCTCTAAGTAGATTTTTCTTTTGGTACCAGGAATTGAACTCAGGATCTTGTGCTTGCCAGGCAGGCACTTAGGCTGCTGAGCAGTCTCCCTGTATTGCTAAGTAGAATTTAAAAAATTCTAGGATGAATTGTCAGTTAGTATTTATATTAGATTTTTGCTTCAATTTTTCTCCCTAACTCCCCCATCTCCCCTTTAAAAGTTTGGAGAACTTGTTAGGTACAAAACTAAATAAACTAAGTCCTCCTTTCCTCCAGACACAAATCAGTATTAGTTTATCTTACATTCTTTGTATTTTTCCATCCTAGCTTATAGATAAATGTAGTGAGAGTGATTTATTTATTTATTTTTTTCTGTCTTGAGACAGGGTCTTGCTATGCAGCTCAGGCCGGCCTTCAGCTTACTTTGTAGCCCAGGCTGATCTGGAAATTGTAGAGATCCTCCTGCCTCAGCCTCTCCAGTGCTGGGACTACAGGCATGTGCCACCATGCTAGTAGAGGGTGATCTTTTGGAGGAAGGACGTAAGGTTAAAATAAAAGTCATGTTTGAGATCCTTTTTCTTAAGGCCTGGTGAGGACCTTCTGCCTCATTCCTCCCCCTCTGGCCTGTTTGGTCCTCCCCCAAAAGGTTGTACCTTGATTCTGTGAGTGAGAAAGGATGTGCAGAGGGGAAAGGACAGGAGAAAGGTGTGACTGTGTTGTTGTGAGTGCTTTGCTTTTGTGCTGTAATTGTGGGAAACTGGTGCAAGTTATTAGTGGGGAGAGGACGTCATGGGAACAGGCATCCCTGCTGCAGGGGGCTGTTCAGTGGGAGCCGGAGTGTCACAGTGGCTCAGCGCAGGGCTCCAAATCTACTTGAATTAGAGAAAAATGAGGCTGTATACAAACTTTAACCTCGGCCTCCTCCCACTAACACTGGGGATTGAACACAGGGCCTTTGCACTAAACTGAGCCCTCCTCTCCCCCAGCTTTACTTGACAAGAATCTTCCTAAGTCACTGCATTGTCCAGGTGTGTACAACCTGGAATTCTGCCCCAGTCTTTTTTTTTTTTTTTTTTTTTTGCGGTACCATGGATTGAACTCAGGGCCTTGCGCTTGCCAGGCAAGTGCTTACTCTACTGAGCCATCTCCCCGGCCCAGCCCCAGTCTTCCAGAGCGCTGAGATTACAGGCATTGGCATCATCATACCTGCTTAATTTAGGTCAGTGGCGCCGAACCTTTTAGAGCTTCCAGTGGTAGCATACGCACAGCCTGCCATGGGTTTGCCCGCTGACCTACATCTTTTGAGCAGATGCTTTGAAACTGGGGAAGGATTTACATTTTTCCTTTTTTTTTTTTTTGAGACAGGGTCTTGCTATGCAGTTCAGGCTGGCCTTGAACTCACTTTGTAGCCCAGGCTGGTCTCCAGTTCGTAGTAATCTTTCTTTTTCAACCTCCAGAATGCTGGGATTACAAGTGTGTGTGTTCCCATACCTGGCCTACTCCCCTCCCTCACCTTTTGTTGTTGGGGAATTAAAGCCATGGCCTTGCTTGTGCTACACAAGTACTGTCCCACTGAGGTATATTTCCAGTCATTTTTCATATTTTGAGAAAGGATTTCTGTTTTTTTGGTACTGGGGATCCAACTGGAGACCTTGCGCTTGCGAGGGAGGTGCTTATGCCTCTGAGCTATTTGTTAGAGTACTGTCCTTCCCGGCTCAAACTTGTGATCCTTCTGCTTGACTTCTCCAGTCCTTGGGATCATTGGCATGCACAACTGTGCTTGGGCCTCCACTCATTTTAGTTATTTATTTTTTAGTGCTGGGGGTATGTCCCGACATGCTCAGTAAGTACTCTGCCACTAGCTCTGCCTCCAGCTCCCTGTGCTCAGTGTAGTATAGACCTGCCACGGTTTTGGATTTGCACTGGGCTCCATGTGGATCCCTGTGTTGAGCAGCAAAGCTTCACAGGAGTACTTCTTTTTTTTTTTTTTTGTGAAGTCAGGGATTGAATTCAGGCCCTTGCGCTTGCCAGGCAAGCACTTAATTCAACTGAGCTATTTCCCTGGCCCCACAAGAATACTTCTGAGGGGAGTGTGGCCATTTCTTCTGGAGGATGTTTTTTTTTTTTTTTTGCTCCGAATGCCTTCAAGGCATGACTGGCTGGCTTGTGTTGGGATCGAACCACAGCAACCTGAGCCTGACTGCTTGGTTGAAGCAGCCTCTTCTGGAGGATGTATGTGATCACAATGTTGTGAAATATAGAAGCATTTTGGTTAGATTTTTTTTTTTTTTTTTTTTTTTTTGGTGGAACCAGGGATTGAACTCAGGCCCTTGCGTTTACCAGGGAAGCGCATATTCTACTGAGCCATCTGCCTGGTCCCCCTAGAAATTTAATTTATTTATTTATTTATTTATTTGAGAGAGAGAGAGAGAGAGAGTGAGAGTGAGAGTGTGGTGTGTGTGTGTGTGGCCAGCTCAGCCCACCAGGGGGCGGGGCTGGCTGGCATGTGGTGCTGGAGGATTGAACCGTGGTCCCTGATGCTTTGCCAAGCTTGTTCTAAGTAGGTGCTTTAGACCACTGAGCCATCTCTTCAGCCCCCCCCCTAGAAATTTAAATAATTTTTTTTTTTTGCTCAGCCCGCCCTGAGGGCAGGGCTGACATGGCATGTGGTGCCAGGGATTGAGCTGTGGCCGCCTGTGCCTGCCTAAGCTTGCCTAAGCAGGCGCTTTAGACTGCCGAGCTATCTTGCCAGCTCCAATGATTTCAGTCTTAAGGGGCAGTATTTTTTTCTAGTAACATTTTTTACTCTAAAATAATGCTCCATTTCATAAAATTGACAAATTTTATTGCAGCATATAATCATTTCTTTATATATTTGAATGTGTCAATTCAGAAATCCTGAAAACATTCTCCATTTTGTTAGAAGTTGAAAATTGCAGCAGCATTTTACTATAATCTGTATGTTTTTACAAGGAATTTAGTAATGGACAATTGACCTTGAAAGCTCTCAGAATTCATACAGAACAGACTAGGTACCGGGACCTAAGCTGCACTAAATTACAGTCTCATTGACTGGATTACATCTAGACTGTAGTTAACAGAAATAAGGGGCTTCAGGGTTCCTAGCTGCAGGCTGTTAATGCTTTCACATGTGAAGGTAAAACAAGTACTACTGAAAACATTAGACCCAGGTTGGGGCGAGTAGATGCCCCTGGCCCAGGTGGTTTTCTTTTTTTCCTTTTTTTTTTTTTTTTTTTGGTGGAACCAGGGATTGAACTCAGGCCCTTGCACTTGCCAGCGAAGCAGTTACGGTGGTTTTCAAGGCCACCTGGTATAATCTGTGTGATAGGTGTTCTCACAGGGAGACTTCGCCACCAACTGAACGTGGGTGTTGAGAGGAAGGCTAGGAGGTTTACTAGTTAACTGGAGCTTTATGGGAGTGGGTTTGGAGGAAATAGACTTAAATGTCATAAATATGTTTTAAAAAGTTTTGTGGATTAATTTCTTAAAACCTAATGAGTTGGGCTGGAGAGATGGCTCAGTGGTCTAAAGCACCTACTTGGAACAAGCTTGGCAAAGCACAGGGACCACGGTTCGATCCCCCAGCACCACATGCCAGCCAGCTGCACCCTCTGATGGGCTGAGCTGGCCACACACATACACATAGACACACACAATAAATAAATGTTAAAAAAAAAAAAACCTAATGAGTTAATTATATATGACTTTAGTCATTAAAGTTACTTATTACTCATCTTAGTATAATTGGTACTAGTGAGTTAGTGTGTATTTGACATTTTGGTTACGTTTAGAACCTGAACAGATAATTGTATTGTTTATCATTTACAATTTTTAGCTCTTTTTATTCTGTAGATACAGTTGGTACAGTGTTAATATAAGTGACTTTAATCTATTTCATAAACTACTTGACAATTTGCTTAGCTTTCCTTTTGTTTGGTGCTCAGATTGAACTGAGGGCCTCATGCTTGCTAAGCACGTACTTTGTCACTGAGCTGCACCTTCAGCATCCAGATAACTTTTATTTTTTTCATTTCTTAGACTGCAAGTGGCAACGTGGAAGCGAAAGTAGTCTGTTTTTATAGAAGACGAGATATTTCCAATACGCTTATAATGCTTGCGGACAAGCATGCTAGTAAGTTAATTGTCTTTCTGTTGAATCAAAAAAAATTTCTCTTTTTTTTTTTTTGTGATGAGAGATGCTTTCTGTTACCTGAAACTTTTTGCCTCATATATCTTCAGTGTAGTTTGTTTGTTTATTTATTTATTTTGTGGTACCGTGGATTGGAATAAGGATTTTTTTTTTTTTTTTTTTTTGTTCCTCAAATGCCTTCAGGGCACTTTTGCCCAGCGGGAGAGTTGTGAGGTTCGAACTCGAGCAACCTGAGGCTGACAGCTTTGTGGAAGCAGCCACTTAAAGGCCTGAGCTAGGGCCAGGCCCCCAAAGAGTTTTTATTTTTTTATTTTATTTTATTATTATTAGTATTTTTTTTTTTTTGGCAGAACCGGGGATTGAACTCAGACCCTTGCGCTTACTAGGGAAGCGCTTATTCCACTGAGCCATCTCCCCGGCCCCTGGTACCGTGGATTGAACTCTCAACCTTGTGCTTGCCAGGCAGGTGCTTACGCACTGACCTATATCCCTGACCCTCTAGCCCCAGTTTAAATTTTCTTAGGTGGCATCATACATAACTTTATTTTGTTCTTTTTGAGATTGGGTCTCACTATGCAGTTGAGGTTGGCCTTGAGCTCACTTTGTAGCCCAGGCTGGTCTTGAACTTTCAATGATCTTCCTATCTTAGCCTCCCAAGTGCTGAGATTGTAGGTATGCACCACCACACCTGGCCATCATACACAATTTACTGAATTAGACTATTGAAATAGAAGTCTTTGCAAATGGGCTTTAACAAACACGACAGAAGAGCTTTTATTTTTAGTGGTGGTTTTCTTTCTGTGTTTTGAGACAGAACCTCTCAGTATAACCTGAGTTGGCTTTGAACTCGCTATATAACCTAAGATGGCTATAAATTCCTTATTCTCCTTAAGCCTCTAGGTATCATTGGTAGTTTTTAGAGTTTGTTTTGAGACAAGGTCTCTCTGCAGTTCAGGCTGCCCTAGAAGTCACTATATGGCTCAGGCTGGCCTTGAACTCAAAGCAGTACCTGGCCTCAGACTCCCAAGTGCTGGGATTATAGATGTAGAATACCACGTGCAGCTGTCAGTGGAAGATTTTTGAAGGTACAGATTGCGGGAAATGTGTATTTGCTGGTATTTGGGGGGATATTTATTTCCTATGAAGCAACTAGGAGATATGTATGTATGTCTTTATATGTTTAATTGTGATGGGGATTAAATTTAGAGCCTTTACACAAACCTACATTCTCAGCCCTTATTATTCTTTTGAGATAGAGTCTTGCTAAATTGCATAGACTGGCCTAGAATTTATGTTCTTCCCTCTCAACCTCCAGAATAGCTGAGATTATATATATGTGCCAAAATACTTTATATCATTCTTTTTTTGTCCTATTTATGTAATAGATTTTAGAAAAAATCTTTTATTTGTTTGGTACAGGGTCTTGCTACGCAACCCACACTTGTAGTTATCCTCCTGTCTTAGCCTCCCCAGCGCTGGGATTACAGACATGTACCACCATGCCCAGATTCTGTAGCCAGTTTGGCATAGAGCCAGCATTGCATGTGGTCCCAGGGATTGAACTCTGCTCCTTGCATTTCCCAGGCAGGGGCTTAACCACTGAGCTGTCTCTCTTTTTTTTTTTTTTTTTTTTTTTTTTTGTGGTATCAGGGATTGAACTCAGGACCCTGCACTTGCCAGGCAAATGCTTATTCTACTGAGCCATCTCCCCGGGCCTCTTTTTTAATATTTAGTACAGGGTCTACACGGTTTCACTGCACAGAGTGGACTTGTAGTGATTCTCCTATTTTCATCTACCCAAGTGCTGGGATTACAGATGTGCATCCAGTCTCAATTGCCGTCTCAGCGCAGGGGCGGGGCTGGCATAGGCATGGCCAGCCAAGGATTGAACCCTGGTCCCTGTGCCTTTCTACGTAGGTGCTTTAGTCCACTGAGCTATCTGGCTGGCCCCTGCTGAACGGCCCCTGCTGAACTTTCTCCCTGGCCTGTACTTTACATTTATATTTTTATTTATTTGGTACTCGGATTCAAACTCTCAACTTTGTACTTGCCAGGAACATGCTGTGTCACTGAGCTAAATCTCTGACTCTATTGATTTAATTTTTTTCTTTTTTTGAGACAGAGTAATTTTTTTTTATTTTTTTTCCAGACCTGGGGATTGAACTCAGGACCTTGCGCTTGCCAGCAAAGCGCTTATTCCACTAAGCCATCTCCCCGGCCCCTTGCCATGTAGTTTGTTAGTCTTGAACTTACTTTGTAGCCTAGGCTGGACTGAACCTGCAGAGTTCTGCCCCAGTCTCCTGGGAGTTAGGACTACAGGCGTGTACCACCAAGTGGTTTGTTTTTTTTTCTCATGATCTCATTATGATGTAATCCAGCCAGACTTTGTATTTATTATGTAGCCATACTGGGCTTGAACTTGTGATCCTCTTGGTTTAGCCTTCTGGGTACTAAGGTGAGAGATGTGGGTAGTCTCCACGCTCAGGACCCCAGCCCCCATGATCGAACCTGGAACCTTGTGCTTGCCAGGCAGGCACTTATGCTGCTGAGCCATCTCCCTGCCCCCCCCCCTTTTTTTTTTTTAAGGAGACTAGGTCTTCTACTGTTGCCCAAGCTAGACTTAAACTTGCAATCAAGCTTCCTGATTCAGCTTCCTGAGTAGCTGATTATTTCTGTGTTCCACCGTACTCGGCCACAGATACTATAAAGAACAGTGGTAGTTGGCATAGTGGCACGTGTGCATAATCCTAGCTCTCAGGATGGTGAAGCAGGAGAATCACTGTACTTTTGAGACCAGTTTAAACTGCAAAGCAGGACCATGTCACAATACCACCCCCTCAAAAGAAGTATGAGGTAGACAGAGAATGAATTTGAGACTGTGTAGTAAGACCTTGTCTCGAACAAAAGTACTCACACACTAAAAACAAAACAAAATCAGTAACAAAGTGTTAGGAAATTTAAAAAAATCCTTGTGTATTTATTTTTTTGTTGGAACTGGGAATTGAACTCAGGCCCTTGTGCTTGCCAGGGAAGCACTTACTCCACTGAGCCATCTCCCTGGTCCTAAAAATGCTTGTTTAAATGAAACAACAACAAAAGGTTGAATATAAAGAATGATGTGGTAGACATCCTGTCTCACAACATCAAGAAGCTGAGACAAGAGGATTGCACTGATTTGAGGCCAGCCTGGGCTAGTAGTGAGACCTTGTTTCAGAAAACCAAGGGGGTAAAAAAATGTGGCAAATTTAAAAATATTGTAACTATCTCACAATACAGATCAAAAAGACAAAAAGACGTAATATAGGGCACAGTGTGGTGTCACATGCCTGTAATCTTAGTACTCTCTCTGGAGGCTGAGGAAGAAAAGTTGCTGCCAGTTCAAGTTTAGCCTGAACCACATGGTGAAATCCTGTCTAAAAAACCCCCAAATCACCCAATATAAAACATGATAAATTGAGATTTATCCAGTAGCTCCAGAAACCATAGGTTAAAGGAATAAAAATGAAAGAGAAAAAAGGTTATTAAAAGAATGCTTCTCCAGAGATGAATGAGAATCTTGATAGAGTGAATGAGAAAAGGAACAGATAATATCATTTCAGGACACCAGAGGGAAACTCACTGTTCTCTAGAGTTTTTAGAAATAAAATTAGCGGGCTGGTGAGATGGCTCAGTGGTCTAAAGCACCTACTTAGAACAAGCTTAGCAAAGCACAGGGACTGCTGTTCAATCCCCCAGCACCACATGCCAGCCAACCCCGCCCCCCTGGTGGACTGAGCTGGCCACACACACACACATAAATAAATAAATAAATTAAAAATTAGCAACACAGGATCAGATTTCTTTTTTTTTTTTTTTTTTTGCAAAACCGGGGATTGAACTCAGGCCCTTGAGTTTGCCAGAGAAGCGCTTATTCCACTGAGCCATCTCCCCGGCCCCCTCAGATTTCTTAATACTACAGGAGTGAACCTTTTTTTTTTTTTTTAAATGTACTTGGTACAGGGTCTCACTGTGCAGATAGTACACATAGTGATCCTCTCCTGTTTTTAGCCTCCCCAGCACTGGGATTATAGGCATGTGCCACCACGCCTGAGTAGGAGTGAAGCATTTTAAGTTGAGAATTCAATAGCTATTTGTTTCCTTCCTTTATTTATTTATTTATTTATTGTCAGCTCAACCCCCCCCAGGGGTGGGGCTGGCATGGTATGTGGTGCTGGGGATCGAACTGAGGTCCCTGCATGCTTGCCTAAGTTTGCCTAAGCAGGTGCTTTAGACCACTGAGGTATCTCGCCAGCCCTTCAATAGCTATTTGAGGGCTGGTGAGATGGCTCAGTGGTCTAAAGCACCTACTTAGAACAAGTTGAGCAAAGCACAGGGACCACGGTTCAATCCCCAGCACCACATGCCAGCCAGCCCCGCCCCCGGGTGGGCTGAGCTGGCCGCACGCGCGCACACACACACACACACACACATAAATAAATAAAATTTATAAAAAAAAATAGCTATTTGAAAGAAATGGTGTTATTTAATACTTGAGTATAACATAATTCAATAATTAGGAAAGAAGGGGCAGGGGAGATGGCTCAGTAGAATAAGCACTTCCCTAGCAAGTGCAAGGATCTGAGTTCAATCCCTGGTTCTGTTTTTTTT